CTGGGCCTGCACGTTCACTGGTGTGCCCCTTTAGGACTGGCCAGGGGAGTGGTGAACACAGATCAGAAAGTAGACCAAATCTGTCAAGATGCGGTTTTACCCAGTCTGCTGTGTCAGGAGGAACGGTGTACTGCCTGCTGCTGGCGAGGCCTCCTTCCCTGTGGCTGGCGAGGGTCCTTGGACTCAGGGTGAGGCCCAACCCGCCACCCATCTCTCCCCACACCTTGCACATTTGGGCTGTCGCTTGGTGCTAAGCAAGATAATCTGGGCAGACCCCAAGCTGGGGCTTGGGGTGAAGCACAGCGCTGGGCCCCTGTGGTAGAGAGTGAGCACAAGTGACCACGGAGAGGTGGGAATGACAGCGTCCAGGTCACGAGGGTCACATGAGTTAATGTCACCAAGTCTCAGCCAGGCGCAGAGCACAGCGGCCCCAGGACCTGTATGTGCAGAGACTTGGAAATCTGGCGCTGGCGGTGCAGCAGGAGGCTCTTTCATGCCAAGGGGCCTAGCCCTTTCCCCTACCTGCAGAAGGAACAGAAGCCAGCGCCTCCTTCCGGCACGACACCACCCTTCATCTGCTTCCCATCCCGCCTTGCTCGTCATCCTGGTCCCTTGGGCAGCAGCACTGTTTGTTCCCAGTGATGTCTGAGCTCGGGGAGCGTAGGCACTTCAACAGACGTCCCTGCGGGACACCCCTGGGCCAGGATCCAGGCCCTTCCCATAGATCCGAAGGGCAGCAAGGACTTGGGCCCTGAGAGCAGAGTTGCAGGAGCTCCCGGGGCTGTGCTCAACCCTTGTCTTCACTTGGGGGGAGAGAGAGGTACAGGGAGAGTCGTCCCTCTGCAATGACAGGCCTGGCCTACATGGAGGGGCATATCCCCACCCACCAAGCATACCCAGGGCACTCGTCGAGTCCGCCTCCAGCGCTGTGTGCAAACACACTTTGCACAGCCCGGCGTGTTTACCAGGGCTGGGTGTAATTGGCTTGCCTCCCTCTACACCTCCGTGCCCCCTCCGACCCACACGCCCACACCTCGGAAGAAATTAGCATCGTTGAAAACCCAGAACCTGCCACCAGTCCTGCACAGCGCCAGCGCTGCGGAGGGGGTGGGGCCACGGTGCGGGGAGTAATTGGTGAACCCGAGGTGAATGAAATAATTGGAAAAGTGAGGTGTGAGTTTGTTACCGGAGTGTGAGCTTGGTGGGGGAGGGGAGGAGGGCCGTGTTTAAAGCCCGGTATGTCCTCTTTATTCACAGCTTCTGATACAGTAATTGCTATTTTGTGGTTTCTATTATCTACACAGTGGGGAGCGTGTGCGTCTGTGTCCCCCAGCGCCAGCGCGAGGCTGCGCCAGGGAGGAGTCCTGGGAGCCCTGTGGCGTATTCCCTTCCTGGTCCTGGCAGGTCCACCCTACCTCACCCCAGCATGGTCCTCACTCCCGTGGGCAAGGGGCGCACGCACAACTTCCTTCAAAGGCCGCTCTTAAAAATGGCTCGGCGGACCTTGCCAGCAGATAAGACCTTCATAATGGCTGGTATTTATACATCGCTTATCTCCAAGGAGCTAAAGGTACTTCATTGATTTTTTTTTTCCTCCCCAGTCTTTTTCCCCCTCCTTTTTCCTTCTCTTCGGTTATCAGCCATCACTGCCATGGGCCTCTTGTGAGACTGCACGTGGTCTGACAAGCACCGACCTCCTCTGTCCAACGTTAGCCCAGCCCCAGGAGAGGAGCCCACCTGGGCCTTGAGTGCCCGGGCTCTGGACATGGGTGGTCACTGCATCTCTGGCCCTTGGGTTTTTCATGCAGGACGCTGTAGCCCCGGGTTGTTGTTATGTCTCGAGATGCCATGCGTCAGAGACCCAGCGCCTGCAAGGCACTCCTTGGTGGTTGGGGTGATGGCGGCAGTGCTGGTGTCCTGAAGCCCCACTGTACATTGGGGAAGTGGCCACAGATGCCTGAACGCTTCCTCCAAGATCTGGCTCTACACCTCCAGCTCCTTAGCGCAAGCTCCTGTTCACACTCTCGCTCTGGCAGACTCGCGTAAAAGGAAGGAACCTGCTGCCCGTATCCATCTACTGGAAGCTGCCTGTGCCTTACACTTGCATGCACCTGTCTGTCTAGAAGCCCCAGACTGAGGCTGTGACCTCCGCACATTCCCAGCAGGCTGGGACGGGCCACCTAGATCCCCTTCGCTGCCTGAGATCTCTGTGGATCCAGAGGGTCCTTCTGTCACAGCTCCCCCTGCCAAGCTCTCGAATGCCACTTCTGTGGGCCGTGGAAGCCCAGCCCCTTCAGCCTCCTCACCAGCTCCTTTTTCCACCTTTTAATTATTTTCCTCGCCTTTCTCAGGACTCTCAGCTGCTTACCATGCACGGAGCATCCCCAGCTTGCAGTGTGCTGCAGAGTCAGGAATTAACCTCAACAGTCTCTTCTCTCTCCTCTCCTATCCTCTCTTCTCTCTTCTCTCCTCTTTTCTCTTCTCCTCTCCTCTCCTCCTCTCTCTCTCTCTCTCTCTCTCTCTCTCTCTCTCTCTCTCCCCCCTCTTTCTCCTCTCTCCTCTCCTCTCTTCTCTCTCTCCTCTCTCTTCTCTCTTTTTCCTCTCTCTGATACACATGTGCACAAACAAGTACACACATGTGCATGCACCAAATACATACCTACACATACATAGCCTGGCTCACGAGAGATTATATATGGCTGGGAAACCTGTGCAGAGTGCATTGAGCCCACCACAGAAGGAAGATTGGCCTGCTGTGGGCAGAAGGCTCATCTCCCCTGCTCTGGGGTCCCGGGCATCCTGGCTGCCCGAGCATTTGCACAGGGCTCTCTTAGCCACACCACATGGCTTCGGCTTTACCCGGGCCTGGCCAAGCCTCAGGAAGAAAAGGGGGTGTCAGCTCTTGAAACTAACCAATCTCTACCCCGGGAGCAGAAGAGAGGTGGAACAGGGCAGAAAGTGATCTCAAGCCTGGATTCCCTTTCAGAACTTTCTCTGCCACTTTCTACCAAGAACCAGTGGCTGCCCCCGGGACAGGGATGATGAGGCTGATGGCAAGTAGTGATGTTTGTGCCATATGCAGTTAGCCTGTGGCTTGTTCGTTTAACCTCACCCTTGGGCTAAGCACATGAAATTTACCAGTGGCTGTGTCTACCTTCGGGGCTTCTGTTTGTTTGTTTGTTCCGAAAATATCTCCAGGCATTCACACAGGGCCAGGTTGCCACACTCCTTGCAGCAGACCCAGCAGTGAGTGAGGTCGCTGTGCTTTCTACTACTCAGAGCAGAGTCTTGGGGCCAGGACACCATGAGCCATAACATTCCAGGGCTGACACTCAGCCCCAGAAGTGGGAAAGGCAGCTCCGAGCTAGCAGCAGAAATTGACCCAGGGGCCAGGATGAGATGGGGAGCTGGACAGAGGGACCAGCAACCCTGAGGTCCCAGGGGCTCCCTGAGAGCTTGGAGCCAAGTACCATTAACCTAAACGAAGCTGTAGGCACACTTGTATGTCCATCGCAGCCCTCCCTGTCCCAGCAGCGGCACAGCACTTCGGTGGAGGAAGAGAGGCTGCCGCATGTCTGTCATGGGATGTGTTGGCCTTTAGGTGGCAGAATAAAACAGCGTTTGCAGGCTGGGCTTCTGTTGCTCTCCACCCTCACCTCCTCACGCCACCTGCCCCGGCCTCTGGTCCCCAGCCCAGGCCCCTTCACTGCGGGGAGGCTGACGGGGCTCCACTGTGCTCCATTCCCTCCTCAGGAGGCTGGCCTTCCCAGCCTCCTGCCTGCGCACAGGAGGCGCGGGGAGGGGGAGCAGAGCTGCCGGGGACAGCTCAGAGGAGACGTGCGGATTCATTTTGAGGATTCATAATGCTGCGTCCCCGCTTCGTCCTGCCTGCAGAAATTGGGCTGCCAGATGCCTGGTCATGCTGGCAGGGCTGTAGGTTAACGCCTCGGATTTAGCTTATATCATTTCACGAGAGCTTACGGCCTTTACTATGTTTTTTACCCAGTCGGTCCCTGGCCCTGAAGCATCCTAGACCAATGTGTGCCTGTGTGTGCGCCCAGGCGGCCGCAAAGTGTGTGTAGATTTTCAAATAAAGTCATACCTCTCTTCAGATGCCATGCACATTAAATATTTATCGGCAGCAATTTGCACATATAGATTTGATAAATGGACGTTAGGAAGGGGATGGGGGTGGACAGTGAGAAGAGAGGGCCAGGGAGGCCTGGGAAAGCACGGCCCTTTGTGCTGGCGTCGCGGGGAGCTCATGCTCCGTGGAGGGGTGCAGGGCTTGAGCAGCCCAGGCGTGTGTACCTGCACAGCCTCTGTTCAGAAGAACAGGCCCCTTTTCTCCTCCACGGCTCTGCCTGGCTGGCTGAGCAGAAATCACAAGTGCGCCCGGAAGGCAGGGACGCAGCATGAGAGGAAGGGGGCGCTGGGTACCACTGAGCGTGCTGAGCCCCGAAGATACCTCAGGTCCTAGGCCCTGGGCCGAGGAGGCAGGGCCACTCTGCCCGGCCAGCCCAGCATGGAGTCACCATGTGCCCAGCTGGGTATGGAGAGGGCCTGGCAAGGTCGAGAGACCCCAGTGACCCCCTGTCCCACCCAGCAGAACCTTGCTCTCACCACAGCCTCCTCAGCTCTGCGACAGGGGTACAAGGCTGGTTCCTCTGGCACAGTCCCCACCCCTCCACTGGGCCGGGGAGAACAGGTGGTCTCCTGTTTTCATTGCAAAAGAACCAGAATTCTCCGTCAGTGTCTCCAACCTGCTATCCCTGCAGAGGGAGAGAGGGAGAGAGGGGGAGAGGGAGAGGGAGGGAGGGAGGGAGAGAGAGAGAGAGGAGAGAGAGAAGAGAGGGGGGAGAGAACACGAACGCATGCACGTGCGTGCACACCTCTGTGCCCCTACACATACTTCTTTATAACCCAAAGGAATAGATTAGTGTGGGATTTGGTCTTGCAGCCCCAGTTGTTCAACTCCTGTGTTTGCTTTTCATTTTTAGCACCTTCGGGGAGCTGAAGACGGTGCGTCTCCCAAAGAAGATGACAGGGACAGGCATGCACAGAGGGTTCGGCTTCGTGGACTTCCTCACAAAGCAAGATGCAAAGGTGAGAAGTGACCAATCTCTGCTGCCGTGCTCCTCCTTTGCCTTCCTGGTCCTTTTGGGGAATAGGGAGGTCACTGTCACTACCCAGTTTTGTCTTTGTTCCTTGACCCTGCTAATTTTACACTGTGACATTGTTGGAGGGGAAGGGAAAGCTCTGAGCTCTGTATTTGGAGGGAGGGACAGTGTCCACGGTCCCCTCCCTGGCTGTGCCTCTGCTAGGGCTCCCTGGGCCTCTCCATCAGGGGAAACTCGTGTCCAGGTGGCCCTGGTCCTGGGTGGTGTATGGACTTTGCAGTGTGGAAGACCACAGGGAAAAAGCAGAGTGTGGGAACTCTCAGCCGCCGCCTCCTCAGCTGCCTCCTGCACCTCCTCCTCCTCTTCTTCCTCCGCCTCTTCTTCCTCCTCCTCCCGTCCTCCGACTCTTCTTCCTCCTCCTCCCCTCCTCCTCTTCTTCCTCCTCCTCTTCTTCCTCCTCCTCCCCTCCTCCGCCTCTTCTTCCTCCTCCTCTTCCTCCTCCTCCCGTC